CTGTCTGCGCTCTAGACTGTTCCGATCGGGCCACTGCAAAAAGTTTGAGCAGGTTTATGAGGTGCACCCTTTGCCTCATCAGTTCATAACCCTCTCCCTCTTTCTCTCCCACTTTCTATTGGCCTCTTTCAGGTTTTAATCTACGAAATATTCGCTGTGAAAGAGCCATACGAAGGACTTTCAAACACCGAGGCGAAAGCATGTGTGAGTGCTATCTCCATACTAGAGTACTAACAAGCAGCTATGGTTCCACTCTATCAGATTACCGAAGGAAACACGCTCGACTTCCCTGGACATATGATGAATAAGCTGGCGGAGGTGATTAAAGAGAAGATGTGGGCTTTCGACCCTGAGAAAAGGGCTACAATGCGTCAGGTCAGGTCTATCACTGGTCTACTATTCTATTTCTGGCTTTGAATTTTGTTCCATGAAAATCGTTTGATCACAGTCCGACCTGGAAGGGGGAGGGGCATGCTGTACTTTCGCTACTTCCATGCGACGGTCCAGCCATCGGTGGAAACCTGTGACAGGTGAAGTCGCGAAAAGATAGCGAGCCAAAGTTAGAGAGACCACCTGTCAACTCTTGTAAAGCAATGAAGACGTTGATGGGAAGTAGCGAAAGTGCTGCCCCCCCCCACACAAGCCAAACTGCATCATGATTTGTTCGCATTACAGATTATGCTGTGGATGCAAGCCTATACCGGCATGGAATTGCAGCTGGTAGCCGGTGAGAATGTAAGTTAAAGTGCAGTCCCTATATCGACGCTGTAGGTGTTATCAGGATACATCGTACGCTATGGGATAACCACAGCGGCGGGGGGGGGTCGCATTTGGTCACTGCACTAAGCGAGGCCGTTTCTTAGCTGAAAAAATTCAGATGGCTAATTTTTCCTGCTTTGCGCACTATCCTCATGCTAGAAAACATATATTGCAAGGAGAGTCGTGCCAGAGCACCAAACTTGGAGTGAAGTGGGGTTATTTTGCAAAAACGTATCCCAACTATGTACAGGACGCATCCTAGGAGTAGTGTCGGCTCTGATAATGCGCTTTGGCGGGAGACACTCAGCGATTCGAAGAGAACTGTGCTACGGCCATCCATTCCTAAACAAATCACTATTTGACAACCAGGGCACGTTCTGCCGTTTGGAAAAAGTTTCAATATGAACCCCTCTCCCTCCTCTGGTACGATCCCTCCTTCCCTTTCCCCCATCCCATCTACCACCATCTTCCTTTCAAAGACATATGGCACGATAATTTCCTACTCAGTCTGAAGTGGTAGCAGCGGTGCCATATAGGGGGAAAATGGCGGAAAAAGCGAAATGAAACTGTCAAAACTCGCAAAAAAATCTTTGTTCTACACGGGCCAGAAGCCATCGGACGAGTTCCTCGTTGGCATCGTGCAATGCTCTACGGTGAACATGGCTGCATGTGTGTACTCATATATCCATGCAGCACCGCAGCCGCTTCATACCAATCCCTTCGCTTCATATTTACTTCGCAAATGAAGCAATACGAGCACCGTTCGGGGCGTGGTGGGCGTCCGGTTCGGTATGTTACAGCTTGGCAGGGCGCACCTTTCTTGGATAAAACGCCACGAAGCACGCGCTCAGGATGCGCCGAATGTTGTCACTGTGTGTGCTAGGCGTACTAAACCTACACGTCTTGGGGAATTTCATCGGGCCAACTGCCTTTAAATTCGAACGGCAGGGCAGGAAAACTAGTCAGTGGGGTGCGACGTCGCTCGCCACGCATACAAGCACAGCATATCACGATTGCTTGTCACGAACACCTCTCCCCAGGCTATGGCTTGGCTTTGTCGCGTGAGAGGTGGAATTTTTCTGATTTGCTAGTTTCTGGTAACTTACTGATTTTACCTTGGTGAAACTTGTACACTCTTGTGTGTGAACGCAACTCGCACAGCTTCACAAGAGTTTACAGGTAAGACAGGAGGTTCTCGCAATGATTGACGGGAACCAAGAGTGTCCCCACCAAGGCGATCTATGCCGACTCTTTCACCACTCGTCGTAAACTGTCTGGTCAAATTTCACGTTTTCAGTGTGTAACAGCAACAGTTCATCAGAACATGGACGCACTTCATTACTAAAGACGTCGAACTTCGCTCTCTGCCTAATTTCGAAGAACCACGACAGAAAATGTCTTCAAAAAAGAAACAGAAGGGCAAGAAATGATGTTGGTCACCGGAAGACGCCTATATGTTCTGCAAAATTTATTGATGAGCTACAAATCGTCATTGTAAATCCATTCGTTAATATATTAAATAATGTTTCAAGTTCTACTCGATTGCATCCAAAATAAGAACAGTCTCTCGATATCCCTTTTGATGCAAAAAAGAACTGTTCATGAGATCCACATACATTGTGAGGTTCAAACTACTTCTTCCGTTTCTGTCCTTTTCACTTGTTCGCCGCGTATGCTGAGGCGTGTCTGGGGCCAGGTTTGGTGCGGCGCCAGTCCGTTCTCCGAGAATTGGTGGAGCTGGTAAGCGACAACAGAAAACAGGTCCGCTTAGGTTAAACGGGTACCAAATCCAGCCCCTGACATGCCCCGCCATCCGCAAACCTGTTTACCATATTTTCTGGGCTTTAAGGCACACCCGTGTACATATAAGGGGCATCTTCAAACGCCGTCTATTTTTTGAGAGAATGAACTTCCTTTTTGGTCCCATGCCTTTAAAGGCAGTGCCCGCGTTCAAGTGAGATTTTCCTCTCCCTTCGTGAGCAGGTAGCCAGGTTCGCAGAGGCAGCGATTACACCACTTTTGCGGCGCAAAACGAGTGAGGAGGCCCACGATGCCGTCGTTCCTCTCATTGGCCCAACCCCCTATCATTGGCACCGCCCACCGTTCATTTCTAATGGTTGCCTGATGGTGCGGTTGTTCTGCTACTAACTCTCTCCACTTCGAATGGTGAGAGTGAGGTGATAAGGGAAAACAGCTGATACCAACAAGTAGGAACTCGTGCGGCCATGGCATTTTTTTGCCTTATGCTTTTTCTCAGTTCAGCATGGGGTTCTACGTGAGACATTACGAGCGGGCTTTTCTGCTTTTTTCTTCACTGCTGGATCATTTGCTACCTTGCTATTACTATCTGAGCCGCATAACTCATCATATTTGAACGCGGGCTCAGCCTTTAAAGGCAAAGCCCGCGATCATTCGCCATCACAGACAGTGGATTAGGGGTTTGCATATAGACGAGCAAGTGCTGAGTAATTCGAAAGTGAAGAAAAAAGCAAAAAAACATGCCACTGCCTAAATAGAACCCATTTCGATCTCAGTTTGTACGTGCCCAATTACTCCATCTCCAACACTACGCCCTCATCCGCACAGCTGATTCCCCGATAAGAACTCTACGACCGTACAAGTGACGATTTTCATGCTTTTTCGTCCTGCAGCTTCGTTTTTCCCCGTGGCGGGAGTGGGGCGGGCCTTGAAGGCGGAGTCTGGAGACGGAGTCACTTCTAAAATCTCCCACCAGTTTCCTGAAGTTCTTTTTTCAGAAGTCCCTCCACTATTACCCCAAAAAACATCTCAAATGTCGAACGGGAAGGTGTAGCGTATGTGGAACAGAAAAACAGAGGAAAACCACTTGTTGTCGCTTAATGAACAAATGGTTGGAGGAGAACGGGCTAGCGGAGCGCCAAAATCATCCCTTCGAACACGCCACTTTACCCGCAGCAAGCAAGACTGCATGACCGCCGATAAGGGATGTTACAAGGGAAGTTCCAGTAATTCCATGGCGAGCAAAAGAAACAGTGGAGACGTGATTCCTTGGAAAGGACAGGTAGTGCTAGCAACAGATACGAGCTGACTAGAGTTAGACTCTGCTCCGTTTGTTCACACTCCTTACTACGGAATGTGACCACTCAGCTCAAATATCAAACAGCAAGGACTCATTCCTATATCAATAAGGTCAGAATTGACCTGATCGCTAAACTGTCAACTTTCAGCAAAAAGTGGATGCTTATTGTTAGTGATGTCCTTTGAGGATTGATATGGGTGAATAATAAAGGAAGGACTCATTCCTACATCAATAAGGTCAGAATTGACCTGATCGCTAAACTGTCAACTTTCAGCAAAAAGTGGATGCTTATTGTTAGTGATGTCCTTTGAGGATTGATATGGGCGAATAATAAAGGAGTAGGCAGAACTACTTTACCGACCACATGTCATGGTAAGCAGCATACCCCGCGAGAGGGTCGGGTTCGACGGACGTTCTCTGACTCTTACAGAGCAAACTGTCGCGACACGCTCTTGAAAGAGCGGTCCGCAGTGACCTATGAAAATGCTAGAAGTTATGTGGGAAGGCAGTGCGGTCCGGAGTGGACAACCCTGTGCCAGTTTCGCGGCGAAAACTTGTAGTAAAGGAATATCATGGAGTAGATGCATTCCTTGTCTCTTGTAGAGTCATAGGGTTCATGGATCAGTCGTCCCAGCGCGCGGTCTTTTCGGTCTTTTACCTCTACAGTTGTTTGAGGCTAGAGGAGGTCTGACGAATGCGTTTCCAACGTTCCCTTTGGCATTTTCTCTTCATAGACGGTTCACTTGGCGAATTTTCTTACACATTTCTGCAGCATCACCTAGGCTATCGCGGATCGTGTCTTTAAGCCTAAGCTTTGGAGAGACGCAGTGGTCCCGCTCCTCGAGAATCTAATGCCTTTTTAATTCCACATAATTAGATTGTGAGCAGTCACATCAGGACTTGTGGTTAGTACTGAAATGTCAGCCTTGATGCTATTTTTCGCCTTGCCGCGCGCGGCTGGGATCCATGTGACTGGAAAGTTGGAGAGGAGAATTGGAGAATTGACGAATCCGAGAACTGGGGATTATCGGTATGTATAGTCGTCCTCATCGCTCTGAAGTCAGTCTAAGCGTGTCGGCAGTGCCTGGGTTTTGGGACGGAGCCAGCTCGTTTTCAGTGATTCCCATTCTCCAGGGTTCCGAGGTATGATTGCAGCGTGAAAGGTGATATGCGAACCACTGTTTATGAAGCAGTGCGATGATAAGGGTATAAAAAGGCTGTGATGAAGTGATTCCGTTACTCATTTTCAAACTCAACTTTACTCGCAAAACAAATGCCCAAGGCACCAGATTTACCACCTGCTGAAGCTGTTAGTTGTTCTGTAAACTTCTGTTCATGCACGATGTTTGACTGTTGTGTTGCAGTTTGATGTGTCACTACTAAAACAAGACTACTTCCACGGACTGTTACCACGAGAAGATACTGCCCTTCTTCTGACTAAACATGGCGATTTTCTCATACGATTGAGTGAGGTGAGTCAGGTTCATTCCTGTTTGCGTCAGCGGAGCAAGTGAAGGGCCCAGTACCCATAGAGCAATTGAGGTCAGTCAGTGGTATCGAAACCACTTGACGACATCGGCGCGTGGCGGGACCTTTTTTGGGAGTGGGGTGGTGGTGTGTCGGGGGAAAGCTATGGGGAAACCGTGTAAGTTGCAACTTGACGAGCTGGATGAAGCAGCTCTGTGGCTTCCTATGAGCATGCGCCAAGAACTATGCATGTCCCGACGGAGGCCGTTCGGCGACCGGGGACATTTGCTACTTCCCATCGGCGTGTCGACCCATCCGAGAGATATTTCATGGGTTTACAGAAGTTGACAGGTTCTACCATGGGGCTAGACGAGCTTGCTCCAGCTTCCCACGAGTTCACAGGTTTCACCGGAGAATACCGGAACTAGTGAAGTAGCGGAAGTGCAAAATGCCCTCCCGTCGCCGAACTGCGCCGTCCCAAACTCTTGCCTCAGCACTGGGGGACGGCAAAACACTGTTCTAGCAACCGAAATCAAACCGGTAACGCAA